CCCCCCCCCCCCCCCAAGGAGGAGGGACGCGGCAGGCTCTAGGTGCCCTGTACGCACCGCCAGGGCCTGCAGCAGTAGGTCCAGCCCACAGCCATCCAGGAGGGCGAAGGTCAACTCAGTCTCGGGAGCACGGTCACTTGGGCTCAGACCCAAGCGCGCCCGCTCGCTCAGTTGCAGAATGATCGACAGCAACTCGCTGGCATATTGGGTGTTCGTGTTGAAGGGCTCGCCACCCGTGCGAGCCACCCGTTGGAGCAGCCATTTCGCAAGGGGAACCTCCTCTCCGGCAAGGGTGTCAGCCGTGGTGGGGTCCAGCTCGATCAGATTCTCGAAGATGGCTGCGGAGCCGACAGGAACGGCAGGTTAGTGCTGAGGGAGGGGGGGGGGAGAGGGGGAAGCCACAGGAGGGATGGCCCGACCGCCCAAGGCACGCACACATCGTGTCAAAGAGGCACTGCGACTCGGCCTCGGCCTTCTCGTTGAGGCGCTTCAGATTGGCCATGAGCAGCGACAGGAGCTGGCGATCCAGCTGGCAGGGGTTCAAGGCGATGGAGAGCAACACCAATAGCAGCGCCGACGCCGGGGCCAGTGCCAGCAATAACGCAGCAACAAGAGGCGATAAAAATTGTCCCAAGGGAACCATCCAGGTGAGTCATCGTGCAGGGGCCAGCTACAAGAGGCATGGCAGTTGTTGGAACGTACCAGAGACCGAACAAGGCGCCGGGTCTCTGCCTCGGCTTCCAGAATGTTATCACTGTCACAAAACTCCTTCAGCAGGTCAACCACGGTGACCGACAAGTCCACATTGTCGTGTACCAGCAGGTCGGTCAGGATCTTGGGGACCGGACCGGCAGCAATCTCCGCAAAGAGCGCCGGCTCGGCGGGGAAGATCTCCATCGACTTGAGGCAAGCGTTCAGCTCGATCTCCGATTCCATGAACCTGCGCCCATTCGTACCAGGTACGGCCCGGGTCAGAGAGAGAGAGAGAGAGGGGGGGGGGGGGGGGGGGGGAGAGATAATATCGCGTACTTGGAGGGGTCATCCGGGAAACGTCCCCGGGCGGTTTGATTCGCCTCGAGGGCCTTCTCCAGGGCAACAGTCAGGCGCTTCAGTTCACCCTTCAGGAACCCGAGACCTTCGGCCTCGGGGGCCGTGTCAGGCAGCTAATTGGCAAGAACATCAGTTGCAGGAACGCGAGAACAGATGGATACAGATACGCGCGCGTGTGTGGGTGTGAGTGTGTGGGTGTGTGGTTGACACACGCGTGGAATGTACGTACATCCGGAAGCTGATCAAAAATCATCTTGGTCATGGAAGTCACTTGGCTGGCAATAGGAGCACCGCTGGGGGGAATAGCCGGACCCCGGCGCTCACGAGCTGCCAGATATGGGTCCTCCTCATCAAGGCCGAGGCCCGTGGCAGCGTCCTCGCCCTCGTCATCCTCGCCGAAGGAGACAAACTGGAAGTCATCCCGGCTGAATTCAACGCCCCGATCATCATCATCGTCCAGACTGGCGGTGCTTGTCACTTGTGCTGTCGGTGGCGGGAGGCTAAGACCCGTGCGAGCGCGCTTGCTGGAGCCAGCGCCAGTACCAAACACCGTCGCAGGGACATCGGCCCCGCCACCGGAGAACTCCAGTAGCTCGGCCGGCGGGGCGGATCGCTTGCCAGGAGCAGGGGCGTTGTCGCGCGGCTGGCGGGTCGGAGCCGACTTCAGGTCCTGTTGCGCATGTCAAAGGTCAGCGCGCCGATTGGGAGGAGAGGGAGAGAGAGAGAGAGAGAGCATGATCTCGGAACAGCCGAAGGGGAAGAAAGGAGGGAAGAGGAGGGGGCGGGGGGCGGGGGGAGGGGGGGTGACAACGAACCTTGAAGAGGCTATCAATGTCCATCACTTCGGAGGAGAGGGGCCGTGTGGCCGTGGATCTTACTGAGCAGGCGAGGGAAGGAGGAGCCGATTGGAAGAGGAGGTGTGTCGAGGCGAGAATAGCAGAGAAGCGAGCACAATCGGCAGGGAGAGGGGCAAGGAGAGACGTTTGCGTGCGGGAGTGCAAGTCGAGCCAGGCGCCCAGCCGCGTCTCGGGCGGCACAAAAATAGAGCCTACCTCCTCGCAATGCGACATCCGTTGGCAATACGTGAGGACGATCTTCACCCTCGCTCCTTCAGAACCGATCATCTTCCGGAAAGGCGGGCTCGCTACACGAGGGGCGGCTGCACGAGGGGGCT